GCCATCTAAACTTCCTAATTAACCTCTACTCACTAAATTGACCAATTAAACCTCTCAATTAATTAATTTAACTCTTAGATTAAACTTTTGGGGTGTTACATCTCTGGTCTCACTATAGGGGGCTGTCTTATGGCTTGAGGTGCTTACTTAATCGCTCTTAGCTTCATGGTGCTCCCTCACATTAGATTGCTCAGTTGACACAGATAGTTCTTTCCTCTTACCTCTCCCTCTCCTCCGTCACGGTGATCCTGGCATAATGACAAGTCAATAAGTCATGGACTCACAGCATAAAGTGGTTTTACCATTTTGATCTCAATTGCTAGCTCTCCCTCCTTAGCTTGTCTCGATCTCACATATCAATCACTAATTTTCAATTGCTTATTGATCTCACAATGATTGGTTGCTAGCTTAATCTTGATCTCAAGCTCTCAACTTCTAGTTCTTGTCTTCTTAATCTTGATCTCAACCTTTGGGTGCCTTTATTTGACTATCTCATTCTAAGCTTCTAGAGTTTTGATTCTCGATCTTAACTTTAAATTGGTTGGATTACATTAATTTTTTTTATCACTCCTAGTCCTTTACAATTTTTGATTGTTATTAGCAATTCGTAATTTTTTTTTGGCTCTGAAGTAGTTCATGACTTGTGGCTACTCTAATTTTTTTAAATATTTTTTGATACTAGTTGTTGTGAATTTTTTTAGGAAATCAGGGCTTTAAGGCCTAAGCCTATATAAGTTGAGCTTGTTAGTTCATTGACTCTATTTATAAAAGAAAGGGGCATAATTTTAAGGTAAAGGTGAAAACATGGCTATTAACTATTTTTGGATGAACGTTTGGTAGCTTATAATATGAGGTTGTGTGAAATAAATTCTGAATTTTCAAAAACAAAGCATTCAGTGCCTCCCATTAACTTTCATTGGATGAATATTTGTTTCTTATGTAGGGCCCACTACATTTTGATAGATGGCACTCCCTTTATTTGACCATTGTATCGGTGGCACTCCTTACTAGGCTACCACTTGTGTGTCGGAGAAGGAGAAGAACTAGTTAGAGGAACTTTTCTGTGCAAAGTGTTATAGTTGAATTAGGTTCATCTTCTACCACAACTAATATATGAAGATTATCGAGAAACAAGAATAGTCAACCCATAAATCTTAGTCAAGAACAAAGAAATCAAACCTAAGCAAATGTGTAGAGTGTTGATGAACAGATTCAAGAAAAAATCTAGAAACATGCAAAAAAATAAAAACTAGAAACAACAGAACAAATCAAGAAAAAGTCCTAAATAGAGTTGCTTTGTTGGCTTGGATCATTTGGTTACGGTTGTTTCTTAGCATCTTTGTTTTTGATCAAATTAGATCATTGCATGACAAATGCGAATTGTAACCTCCCTGAGGTTAAACTACAATTAACTCTAAATCATAGTAATTTGAGGTTTTAAAAGGAGAATTTTTCAAAAAAAAATTATTTCAAAGGAATGCCAATTTGTCAATTCAAATCCTAAACATAATTTAAGGACTCCAAATCAGAGTTTTGAAAATAAAGTGGAAGCTTGAAAATCGATCGGGATCCAAAAAATGAGTTTTAAAAAAAAACTCAAAAAATTTTGTGCAAAAATGACATGTGTGCTATGGCGCGAGGCGCCATGCGCTGCTGCGCATTGCACGAAATTTGACAGATCAATGCTGTCATTTGACAGCACAGGAAGCGGACTTCTAACGCGTCCCAAAGTGCCATCCCATGTCTGATTGAGGTAGTTTCAGTGTCTACATGAAACTTTCTTCTAACTCTAGCTAATGGCAATGTTTCACATTCAAACTCATTTTCTATAAGAAGTTGGACACTAAAACCCATTTTTATCACATTTCACAAAATTTCTCAAATGGGGTGTCCCAACTCAACTACATGTGTCAATGGCTTATACAAACCATCTGATCACACTCGATGGACTCTTACAGACTCGTGCAACACACCACACTCAACCAAAAATGCTTATTTCACAAAATCACCACTCAACTCTGATTTTTACAAAACATAGAGGGGGAGAAAAATTTGTACAAAATCAACCATTTCATTCATATTATCAAAAATACATATGTTCCTACTTACACAACTATTTTGACCCTATCCATGGGTTCACATCAAAAACTCACTAATTCAGGCCACAAAATATACTAGTTGAATATAAAATCATACAAGTAGTGCATCAATCAGGATAATTAATCCTAGTTGGCAATTACATTAACAAATACACATGTAAATAGCAAAAGAAAGGACTAATCCTAAGCCTCAGTATGTTTTTTCTGACTCGGATCCGATGAGCTAGGTCTTGAAAATATTGAAAATTGAGGGGTGAGTATAACCACTTAGTAACCAAGTTTCACTTAACTAATATAGTTGCATATTAATCGCAAATAGATACAATTAGGCATATAAACACATATTTCACATAACACTAGGCCACGGTTCACAAAACTAACAGCCATATGACTGGGCTTGCCACAAAACACCATATCATGTTATTTTGTGAAAACATAACATAGGGTCGCAAAAATAACAACCATGCACCCTCTACACGTGCTGGACCACAAAACTAACAACCATGTGGCTGGACTTATGTGCATGATCATATGCCAACCTTATATCCTCCTATTACTTCCGACACAAAACCGGCGGCTATCATGCAGTTACATCCTTCACAAACTAACCCAGCCTTCCACTTGTGAGGAGCCACCGGGCCAAGGTGAACTCACTCACTTATGTAATTCATTTTTCCTAATACTAACAATCATGGGGTGTCATACCCCTAATCTAGCCTCTTTATAAACTGGTGGAAACTAATTAGGTTTGAGTCCCTTATAGAATAAGTGGGACAGTCCCGAATCAACAATAGGACAAGGGCTACCTCCTGATTCCAACGATCGGTGCCAAGGCTAGTTCTCGATTCCAACAGTTACTGTCAATATCACGTGGATTTCAGCCAATCTACTCCTCTCCCTAAGCGATCTCTCGCCAATGATCATGCTGTGCACATTTTACACATAATATGCATCTTTACAATCATTTCTTAACACGAGTTCACATAACACAAATACTCCACAATTTAACACATAATTCATCGTAATTCACCCCCATAGTAATAAATCACAAGTAATTTCATAAAACATCAAGGGTGATAGAATTAAAGTTTTCTTTTTCTTGAAAACCATTTCACAATCAAGTATTTGCCAATGTGCATCATCAATTTAACTTACAAATCACATTTTACAACACAATTAACATTCAACTATAAAAATTAAGTTTTCCCAGTTACCTCAAACCTTTGAGAGGTTAGTGATTTACTCCTCACTATATTAACTTTCTAAAGCTTCAACAAGCTTGAATGGTGCTAAGACAAACCTCTCTACAACTATATCACAAGGATGTCATTATCATCTAGCTCTTTAAGCTTTATCAACATAAAACTCCTCAAATATTATTTTAACCGACTCATAATCACTACCCATTCATACCCAATGGGCTCATTAGATTCCATTAATGCACATTATCATTAATAACACCTCAAACCATCATTAAAGCATATTAACCTCTCCTAATTACCTCGTAAATATCAATTTTCAGACATTTAATGCTCCCATAGACCAACCATTTCCAAAATCATTGACGTGATGTTCTAATACATTAAACAACTCCCATTTAACTTATTTTAACTAATAGGATCGGACCTATACTCCCATGAACTAAAAAACCATCTCTTAACTTAAACCCTACCATAAATCATTACAAAAGAGGGAGAGAAAGGAAGAAGAAGGCACCATAATCTTATCTTGAGTGTTTGGGAGCTTCAATATATCAATAATGGAACCAAATGTCGTGCCCTAGCAAAGCGAAAACTGAGTTCTTCATTTTCTTCGTCTTTTTCTCTTCTGTTTTCACACGCTTCACGAGTCAAATATATCTGATTTTTGGCTGTGTGCTGTAGCGCAGGCTGTCCTCCATTGCGGCACATGGCATAGATGAGCCCATTACGTTTAAATTATCTTTATGCACCGCGATGGACCAACCATGCACCGCAATAAGTGGCACAGAAAACAAATCTTCACTTTTTCATCCTCTTTCCTTACCTGGGTGGCCCGCCATCGATCTGGACCTACTTCTAGGGCTGAAATCATAACAATTATGCTAAGTTAAGCCCCTCTGGCCACACACCTTATTAACTCACTAACTACCCTCATTAGGTTAATAAATCAGGGTTAAAATTTTTCGAATGTTACACGAATCCAGGCCATCAGATCATGTGCAACCAACGTAGGCTTCCTCATATTCATCAAAAAAATAAAATTAAGGAGAAATCAAAATTTACTTGTGAGAAGTTGTTCCATTCATTGGAAGAGAGAAGGAGCTAGATGCCAAGGTGGAGTGACTGGATGAGCTTGAGACAGCTCAAAGAGGAGAGACAATGGCAAGTAATGCATAGAGCGATGGTGATTGTGAGCAACCCATGAGCAATGGTGATTGATGATTTGAACCTGAATCACGAGCAGGAGAGCAACCACTACAGCTACTATGGATGATTTGAAGCCAAATCACATTTAAGAAAGCAATTTGCAAGAGGGAGAAGAGGGTGACAAGGACAAAGATGAGTAATCTGGCATACATATATATATATATATATAGAGAGAGAGAGAGAGAGAGAGAGAGAGAGATTGCCCTTTGACTTTCTACCTCCACCACATAGACACTAAGTTGATTAATTTTGTTACATGTATAACCACATAGATAGAAATTGGATCAAAATATGGTCAACTAAAGTTCGTCTAGTAAAGGTTAACGAAAGCTGCTAAATGTTTTATTTTTAAAATTTGAGACCATCTCATAGCTTTGGTTGTTAGAAGTTCTTTGAAAAACAATTGATAGTCAAATTTACACAAATACCCCATACTTTTGTTTTCTTATGATATGATTAAACTTCACCCATGATAATCCATAAATGGCACTAGCCAAATAAAATCTATTCTGCATTTTACGACCATCCTTCTATCGCGCTACCGTTCCTCTTGCGCCATAGTCCCACCCGTGACCTGCAGCAGTGTCCGTCGTCCCCGTCGCCGTCACATTGCCACAGGTTTCACTCATTTCTCCATCACCTGCGTCTATGTTTATTTTTCTTATTTTCCTGCCACTGCCTTTTATTTATGCTCTCTCTCTTTTTACTTCTCTGAAACACAAATGTATCTAAGGTTTTCGGACTCCTGCTTCATCTTTTCTGATTTTGAGCATCTAAGGTTTGTTTCGACTTTTGGTTGCTGTAAATGGGAGTTAACTGCAATGCCTCTTTTCTGTGCTACAATTTCTTGTTAGACTTGTCACTGATTATGATGAAAAGGGGTCATTCGCGAGTGGGGAAAAACATAAATTGGTTAATAGAACCCGTTGTCAGTATCATTGGGGGTATGATTTTCTTTCTTGTATCTAAACAATAGGATTCTGTGTAATGGAGATACGTTCATGGCCATTACTTTTTATGATTTAGAAGAATTGGAACCTATTTAGTGTAAATCTTTAGTGATTCTTAGGTTTGTCCTCTAAAAGCTACTATTTTCAAATGATTAGTGCGGCGCTGAGATTAGCAAGGGACTAAATTGAGTCGTGATTCCATGTCGTCTTATAACCATCCAATGTCTTTGAAGTTTTTCAAGAAGTTGTCTTCTTATTCTATATGGGACATAATCGCTTTAGCAATTAGAGTTTAGTATGTACATTTCGTGTATTTTCCGGAGGTTTTCTTTGTTAGACACCTGAAGGAATTGAGGGCATTGTATTTTTAATGCGTGTTATTGTCCACTCTGCTCTCTGTTTCCGTTAACTTTGTTTACGAGTGTGGCTTTTCCTGTTCTTTTTCTGTCATTTTTAGTGATTATATAGCAGTTTTAGAGTCAGTAAATGTATCACTCGATTTGCAGAGAACTTCTCTGTCTGCCGATGAAATCTTTCACAACAGCAAGATTCACCCTCCAAGCCTCCACCATCACCTTGGTTGATGTCTGACTGAGGGCTTGATTCATCTTCCTTGACCAGATCCAAGGGAGAAAAAGATCATTCAGGAGCAAAGAGATTTCGATTTTGACTCATTTGAGAAAACCTGAAAGCTGGAAGAACGAGCAGAAGAAGAGCAACAGAAGGGAGGGAGATCAGGGAGGGCTTCTTCGTTCTTGTGTTCATCCACAAGTTCTGGGCATAAAGGAATTAGCAGATCTGTGCCTCAGAAGCTTGGACATAGACGGCATCTCTGATCATATTGGGGGTAGCTTACCAGTCTGAGGCAGCTCCTTGAGTCCATTGTTTGTGCACACTACTCAACAAGAAGTGTTGAAAATATGTTTCTAGCATCTTACAGATCCTGAAGTGATTGAATCTGCAGGATGTTTTCAGCCACTCTTGTAAGTTATTTTGTTACTGTGGTTTCCAAAGTCTGGTTTTTTATATCAAGTAAACAACCTGAGAGGTTTTAATTTTGAGTCTGCATACTCAAGCTTTTGAGGATTTCCCCCCACTACTTTTCTGTCTCATACTTTGATCACAAGGGTAACTTCAATTTGTAGAAGGCTGTTTTTAGAAGTTTCACTCGTATGATATTGGATGGCTCTGATTAGAGATGTGCCTTGCATATTTGCTGCAAGTATGTCAGTCTTGCAAATGTTGATCCAATTGTTGTAGCTAGGGATCTCATGGATGAAGTCGGAAACTACCCTACGTAAATAACTGAATATTTCTTTTACATCTTTTGTATTTATTCAGCAAAATATGAAGATTGCATCTTGTGTGTCATATTGATGGAATTTTTTTTGCTTTCTTTGTTGCAGTAGTGGTTGTCAAAGGCTTTTACAACTGCTGAAACCATGTTGAATGTAGGAACGCTCAGGGAATGGATTTCATCTGCGCTAGGGTAACTGCGGTATTGAGGCTATTAGTTCATCAAGGCTAATGGCTTTTTTGGTGTTTTGCTCTTTCCTTCCATTTATATGGAATCTTACCTTTTAGACCTAGTCATCTGTATCATATGCATCCCTATTGTATCTTGAAAAAATGTTCATAGTTTTTTTTTTTTAAGATAGAAAATGGGGGAATATAAAATGAAATTTGATATTGGTTTGAAAATTTGCTCATTATGGGCCCTCTGCTATATGAAAGCATATGGTGGCAGTTAGTACAAATCTCATGGTATTGCCAATATTTTTTTTTTTTTTGTCTTTGGCATATGCTAGCTATGCTTTGTTACCCCTTCACTTCCTTGTATTATTTATGTATATGCAAGTCATTAACTATTATTTAACCTTCAATATCTCTCTCTGATCTTTAATTTCTGGTGCATTCACTTATTTTGAAGGATAACCGTCCTAGTTCTAGCTTAATTTATTTTAACTCTTGCTGCTCATCGTCTAATGCACCCTAGGAAGCATTATGGATTAAACAGAAATTATTCTTGGTCGGATGGGATACTACTGCAGGTTGAGTTGTTACATGAAAGCTAAAATGTGCATCACACTTTTGGCATTAATATAACTATCAGCTATCCTTGTTTTTGCAGGTAATCAATATCCTGCAGTAGCTTGATCTTCAGAGTGACAGCTTCATATTAGATGAACGGAAGGAGAACAATCTTCAGAGTTTTACTCCATAAACAACCTCAATTGTTCCTCTGTTTCTCTACTTTACCCTCCTTCGATTCACTTCTCTTCCACCCTTACTATGACCTCACTATCTGCATTTCCTTCCTACAAACTTGTGCTCACCACGGCAATCTCTCCAAAGGTAAAGAAATCCATTCCTACGTACTCAAGAATGGATTCCTCAATTCCCTGCTTTCCGTGACCAGCCTCATCAATATGTACTCTAAGTGCAGCCTCATGAACTACGCTGTGAAGGTCTTCAATTACCTGGCCCAGGAAGATAAGAATGTCTATGCATACAATGCAATCATTTCTGGTGTTTTTGCTAATGGGTTTTCCCATAATGCATTTGAGCTTTATAAGCAAATGCGGTGTGTGGGCATTGTGCCAGATAAATTTACGTTTCCATGTGTCATTAGATCATGTAGTAATGCTATGGATGCTTTTGAGGTTAAGAAGATTCATGGGTTGTTGTTTAAACTTGGACTGGAATTGGACATATTTGTTGGCAGTGCTTTAGTTAATACATACTTGAGATTTGGGTTGACAGAGGAAGCACAGGAGATGTTTGATGAATTGACCGTTAGAGATGTGGTGCTCTGGAACTCAATGGTCAATGGGTATGCGCAGATTGCACGCTTTGATGAGGCTCTAGAGGTGTTTAGGTTGATGGGCTTAAACGGGGTAATTCCAAATAGATACACAGTTACTGGTGTCTTGTCTATCTTTGCCATGACAGGAGACTTAGATTATGGTAGAGCAGTTCATGGATTTGTTATTAAAATGGGCTATGATTCGGTTGTTTCTGTTGCTAATGCACTAATTGACATGTATGGAAAGTGCGGATGCTTAATTGATGCTTTAAACATTTTTGAGGCAATGAATGAGAAGGATATCTTTTCATGGAACTCGATGTTATCAGTTCACGAACACTGCACTGATCATTATGGGACTTTGAGGATTTTCAATATGATGTTAGGTGAATTGGTTAAACCTGATTTAGTTACAATTACAAATGTACTGCCTGCTTGTGCTCACCTTGCAGCATTAGTGCATGGTAGGGAGATACATGGTTATATGATTGTTAATGGTTTTGGTAAAGATAATAGTCTAGTGAACAATGCTGTGATGGACATGTATGCAAAATGTGGTGATATGATATATGCTCGCTTGGTTTTTGATAATATAAGGGAGAAGGATTTGGCATCATGGAACATTATGATCATGGGTTACGGAATGCATGGTTGTGGTGATGAGGCATTAGAATTTTTTTCTCAGTTGTGTCAAACTCAACTGGCACCTGATGAAATCACTTTTGTTGGTTTGTTATCTGCATGCAGTCATGCTGGCATGGTGAAGAAGGGACAGGAATTTTTGGCAGAAATGGAATCAAAATATGGTGTTTCTCCAACTATTGAGCACTACACTTGTGTGATTGACATGCTTGGTCGAGCAGGCCAGCTCCAGGAAGCTTATAATTTAGTGCTAACAATGCCCATTGAGGCTAATCCTATAGGGTGGAGAGCTTTGCTAGCAGCATGCCATCTCCATAAGCATAAAGACCTGGCTAAGATTGCCGCAAGGAAGTTGATTGAACTTGAGCCAGGGCACTCTGGAAATTATGTATTGATGTCAAATGTCTATGTAGTTGCTGGTCAATATGAGGAAGTATCAGAGGTGAGGCATACAATGAGGCAAGAGAATGTGAGGAAGACACCTGGGTATAGCTGGATTGAGCTCACAGATGGTGTGCATTTTTTTGTGACAGGTGATAGGAGCCACCCCAAAACTGACTTATCTGTGATGGCCTAAATTCATTGACTGCACTTCTCCGGGAGCATGGATATGTGCCTTCAATCTAGCATCTAATGTGATTAAAATCAGGCACGATGACTTTCTTTCAGGGATTGATAACTTGTTGACAGGTAGATTAGTTGTGGCTCTTCTACTTTTATGTTGCATCTTATACAATGCTACCAACCTACAACTGCAGAAATATCAGAAATCTCAATTGCTGTTTGGAGAGGACTAATGCACACAAAAATATTAGTATTAAATTGAAATTAGTACAGTTGTTAAGAAGAGAAAATATGTCTTCTTGAAAACCTAGGTTTGATTCCTTTGCAGAGCACTGTAGGATTAAATTCCTTTCCCAATGGTGAGACAGAAAATTGTTATGATATATGATGAATTAGAGGATAGTATATCTATATAAGAGAAGATCTGTTGGTCGACGAAATTAATTACATGATTAACTTGAGGATAGCATGATAAGACTGATACCTTCTTGATGAATAAATTCCAATCTCTAGAGGGGTGGCCACTGAAAGTGGTAAGTGCTTTTGGGTTGTTGTTGAAGCATCCACATCAGCATAGATCTCCATGTCAGCTACTAGCAAGAAAATATCCTCTGATAGGTCACATAAGAGTTACTAGTAATTGCAGCAATCTAGATGCTTCCATTGTTGTAGCACGTGTCATTCTTATACAGACTGAAGGCTTTCTATATTGATGCCTAACTGTACAGAATTGATATGAAATGAATAATATTCAGAGTTTTATTGCCTTTCTCGTCTTTTCTTGCTTTTATTCTAGAACTTGTTCACTACAACCCAGCACCCATTTATATATATATATATATATATGAAAATGATGATGTTGTAGTTGCTGGAATTAAATAGAGCCAAGGGAGATGTTAGCTATGATTCTTCTCTGTTCCAGGGCAGGCAAGGACCGAATAAGAGTAGTTATTGGATAAGTAAATTACTAATGAAGAGGAGAAAGAGTGGAAGGAGAAAATGTCGAGCTTGACTGAAAGGTGGAGACATATTGAAATTAACCATGATCCCTGTTCCAATGGTCTTTTGACATTGGACTTCTAGTTCTATATGATCCCATCGGCGCAACAGAGAGAAGAAAACATTGATGTTTAAAGGCTCAAATAATATGATTTGCAATATGTATCAAAAGAGATGAGAGATGAGATGATGGAAAATGAACCATTTCCAAGCCCCTTAGCCACACTGTTTACAGATACAGTAAAATGAGTCTCAAGGTGCTACTGTTCATTGCTTGGTTGATTTAGATTTAGTTAACGTATTGATATTGATGATTATAATGTAAGGTTACTATAATTTTTCTGTTGATGTATACTTTACTGCTCATGCGATAATATAAAGTTTAAAAAAAAAAATTAAACCATATTATTCATGTATGAGTATTGTTTCTTACTATAAATTTTATATTTTATATTGATATTGATGATTTTGGTGGGCAATTTCTAACTTTGGTGATTTAGTTGAATTCAGTTATGTTGCATTTCTTGGTTCTTTCACTTTAAACCTGGACATTTTGACATTAAAAAATTGTAAAATGTTTTTGTAATTTATTGGGATAAGACTTCCTGTTGTTTTTAAAGTGAGAGAGACAACAAATATAATTAAAAATAGGAGCTGGAGGAGACCATCGATTCTTCAAGAGCAGATAGGCCAGCAGCTGATTCAATTGCAAAAGGCTAACTTCAGAACATTCAAATTCGCGTGGTTTAACTCAACTAGCCTTCTCATAATAAATATAGCTTCAACTTGACACCCATCTCAGGATTTGTCATCATTGATAGTAAATAGCTGGTCATTGGTCAAGGTGGTCCAGGTACGTTGATGAAGAAATCTGGCAATACAAACGATTTCCTGTGTTTTACTAGAAGTATGATGATCTTAAGTAAAATCCAAAAACCAAAATATACAGTACTATTCATATCTCAAACTCTTCTGATGGTGAGATGGTGAGGTGTTTCTGTTTCAGTAACACTACTGGATTTGCAGTCATCCAGGTACTGTTGATAGACGTATGAGACAGATCCCCAGACTGCTAGCACCATAGAGATTGCCTTTATCCCATGCATTTTATCATGGAAGAAGATGATTGCCGAAATAGGAATAACAGGCAAACCCAGAACACTAATGGGATTAGAGAAGAGAGAAGAGACCTCATAAATGAGCCCCACATTGCCAATAGCAAGCGACCATAGTATGGCTGTCCAGGTCAGGTTCAACGCATAGGAAGTCTTTCCCATCTCATACCCTTCCATTTCTCTCTTCAGCTCCTTCCATTTTCCATTAGCAGAAAGTCCCACTAATGTTGCAGAGTTTGCTACAATGGATTGACATGCTATCACATCCATGATTGCTCTGAAACTTTCCCTTTTTATATAGCCTTCTTGAATGCTAGTTATATAACTTTGCTTTGGAAATTTGTGTGGAAGAATCTGACGCTGCAGAGTCCGTTTGAAACACAAGGAGGATGGAGGAGATGGTGAAGAGGACTAGAGAGTTTATGATGTAAGGTGTGAAATGAAGAGAATTGAGGAAGAAGGAGAAGAAATCATTGAAAGCCAACTGAGATGAGCAAATGAGAGACAGTAGAGACAGGAAAGTATGAGAGCCAAAGTGAATAGTTGTAGCAGTTGGATGCTCCGAGAAGACCAAGAGAGACATATGTGAATGCTAGCTTTTGAGCGGAAGGTTGCTTCTTAGGATTCTGGATGTCAATATTTCTGGTGGGGGTTTTTGGAGGGAGATGATGAAATGATGTAATAAGGAAGAAGGATTGGGAAGCCCACTAGCTACTGTTCTGGTGACCCCAACCATTTGCTCTTTCCTTCTTTTTCACATTACAATCTTCCCAGGAGTGCTGCAGCTGACTGGCCTGACTGGACAAAGACTGTACAAGGTTATTGGCCGCCAACGGTTGTATCTTCGTCTTGTTTGGCCATTGATTGTTGATTGATTTGGGAAAGCAGTAGTTCCATCCTCTAGTTCTGTTTGTGTGTCCGTGATCTGCTAGAGGAACTTGACAAAACGTTAATACAGCTATAGATGGCTTAACAATAGGCGATCCGCTGCACTTAAATGCAGCTAGTGACATTGAAATAGAGTGTTAAATTCTCAGATTCTCCTTCCTAATTACTTTGCAGGGAAGAAATAGTTTGGTGACTGAACTACATGGACATATTTCAGAACCATGATACTTCCAAAGCTTGCTTTGTTAGTCTGGTTGGCAATTCTTTTATGTTTTGGATGCTAGTAACATGAGAAGAAGGTATGATTTTCTGCAGCTATCAGCTAGCCATGCCAGTTTTTATCACAGTAGAAGACTCCATGCCTGTGGAAATTCCCATATAAGATGTCAAAAATCCTTCTTCTCTCTCCGACTTTAATGATCTCGCAACATAAATCTTTTATTTTTGTAAATGAAGATAAGCATTTAACTTATCCATTATGTCATGTACTTCTCGAGGCTCATCCATGTCAAACCTAAAGTAGTTTCAGAAGAATAGAGGATTACAGGTGGGTTTTGGGGGGGGGGGGGGGGGGGAGAGAGAGATGATGATGGTGATGTTTGTGTTCGAAACTTTGAGCTATTCGTTGTCAAATACCATGTTGGATCATGGATGTCGGTGGGTGCACGAGTGTGGAGATATTTTAGCTTGTGCGATCAACGAGTTCAATTCATTATTTAGTATTTCGATGGATTCAATTTATATGCTATGTTATCCAGTTATGTCAATTAATTCATGTATAAGTATTGCGGTGCTTCAAATTAGAATTAACTCTCCAATCATAATTTTGATGGTAAAAGTGACGAGTTTTTAATTTTAATTAATCCCCATACTCGCGGATGGACGTATTTACCCTCCCCCCGTAGACTTTTAACCAAATCCGTTGTCCTTCCCTAAAGTCCCACTCCCTAGCAGACAACCAAGCAAAACTTCATTTTACTGAGAAACACGGTCGCATAGTGCGTGAGACTGACGCAAAGTGATCTACATAGAGCATTAGAGTAGGGATTAGGTTAGAATATGATGGTTGAAATTTTAAAATAATCTGTAAAAAAAAAAAAAGATACCCTCTTCAGTCCTAAATATGGGAACTACATAACTAATTTTAAAAAATTAGATAAGTTATTTATTTGTAAAAAAACAAGAAAAAGAAAATCGTGCCAGTCTTCCTCAAATATTTCATTTGATCATTTACATTGAAAACTATTGCTATTATATAATCAATAGAGAGAGTTGTGAGAATATTATAAATTTGAGAGACAAAGTTAAATGGTGTCTTACATTTAGGATCAAAGCAAGTCCCTCAACTAATTCCTACATTTAGAAGTAGCGGAAGTAACTAATATGTAGAGTTTGGTGAATAAATTTAGATATGGTGAGGCCAAGTTGGATAATTGGAATGGAAATGATGTTGGAAGACAAATAAGAATGATGACATGTATGTAGAATCAAAGTAAACCTCTCAATTAATTTTTTATATTTAGAATCGGAGGAAGTAATTAATATGTAGAGTTTGGTAAATAAACTTCACTTATGTTAATCATGATGAGACCAATATGGAATAAAAAATCTTGATTTGGTGAGTTAGATGGAAATAATATTGGAAAACATGGTAGAATGATGTCTTACATTTAAGACAAAAGAAACCCCTTAATTAATTTCTATATTTGGTTGTGTTGTTAGAACAGACGAATGGCTATTCCCACCAGTCTAACCTAGAACCTGCCTATAATCTAGTCCAGGCAAAGGTATAGAACTAGAAAAAAGTGAACTAGTCAAAAATCAATCAAAATAAGTGGAAAATTTTTTAAAATCGGTTTCCATTTTTAAACATCATTAACCAAAATTATATTATTATGTGTTTTAATATGTATTGTGGTTAGTTTCTTTAGTATTACACGTGTGTGTGATGATTCATTGATGATTTTACTTAATAATAAAAACTTATGTTGATTTGGTTAAACAATTATCGTAGTGTACTTGATAATTTCAGTTATTTGTAATGGACAAATATAAATAGATTTATTATAATGTTGGTGCAACTGATTATAAATATCAATATATGATAAATATATGGTTAAACACTATTCAAAATACTTTTGTACATAATCTTTAAATTTTATTATTTTAATTGAGACCGATCAAATCACAATTTGATTATAGTTCAATGAACTAGTACTATAAGCGATTCAATACTCGTTTTAACAACATTGATATTTAGAATAGAAGAGAGTAATTAATATGTGGGGTTTGGTAAATAAATTTCACTTACCTTAATCATGATGGGGCAAATATGGCCCCAAAAAAATCATGATGAGGCAAAGTTGTACCATCGGAATGGAGATGACTTGGACATTTGTTGCCTGTAAGACTAGGAATCTGTTTATTGCAATCAAGCATGTATATTAGTACCTCTTTTCAAAAAGTTTTAAATAAATCAATATTAAATATTAAATTGATAGCAAATCACATCTACATAAGTTGTAAATAGTATTGTTTATTGATCAGACTATGTTCAATATACAGGAAGACATGTCTAATTGCACACACACACGTACATATATGAAATCAACTCAGATTCTCTAGAAGGTCGTTTCTCTTAATTTGACTTAAAATGAATTAAATGGGAACTTGTATTGGGTGGCATTGCTGGTCACACTTTTTATGGTACACCAATGAAAGAATCAGTTAAAAATAGTCAAAGTGTCATTTTCAAAGTTACCCTTTGATTCTTTTCACCATAATATTTCTCTCTACCATTAATATTTTTTAATAATAAAGGCAATCTTCAGAAAAACTTTATAAATGCCTCACTGTTTTTCATAATAGATAAGGTAAAATAGCAAATTTAGCTACGCACTATTCTTTTTAGAAATACTTGGTAGCCTAAATTATTAAATAACGAAAATAAATCTTTAATTTTAAAAAACAAAACATCTAGTAGTCCGTCGTTAATATCAATCAAAGGATGTTTTGTGGGGCCTACAATAACATGTGGCACTCTATGTCAACATGCGTAAAGGTAAAAATTTAGCCACGAATAATTTTTCAAAGAAAATTAGGTAGCTTAAACTATAAAAAATGGATAATCCAACATCTTCTCATCAATGTTGACCAAACTCTGTTTATTTTCAGACTTATAAGACCCACAACGTATCAATTTCTCCACTCTTCTTGCCTTTGTTTTTAGTCTTAGCTCGAGAAGAAGAGATTCAAAAAGTTCTTATTTGAAAACATTCATGAAGACGATGCCAACAAAATAGAAGAAGTAATTCGTGGTTAAATTAAGCTAGAATTAAGTTTTTCTCACACGTAGTAAATTTAAACTTCTACTTCATTAGCATCGTTTTCGTGAATGTTTTCAAATAAAAACTCTTTGAACATCTTCTCAAGCTAAGACTGAGAATGGAGGCAAGAAAATTAAAAAGATTAATGTATTGTGGGTCTCATACGTCTAAAAGTAAATAGTCTTTAGTCAAAATTGATGGGAATATGTTGGATTGTCCACTTTTTATAATATAGTCTACCTAGTTCTTCTTGAAAAATAGTTTATAGTTAAATTTACACCTTTACACATGTTGAGGTGGAGTACTCGTAGAGTGTTATGTGTCATTGTGGGCCCCACATAACTTCCATCGACTGAAATTAACGGTGGGCTACTGAATGATTTGTTTTTGAAATTTGAAAATTTATTTTACACTACTTATAGTTTAGGCTGTCAAATGTTCCTGAAAAAATAATACATGGTTAAATTTATACTTTATCCTAATAGATATTATATTTTGAAACATAAAAAACTCTTAGAATAAATCTTATAAAAAAGAACAGAGCAAGTACATTTGTAATGTAGAGTTTTAACCTCAGACGTGTACCCACATTACACCATACATCGATCAGAGGTAAAAATATGAATCCAACCCATTACGTGGATCAGTTAGGCCCTCAAAAAGATGAAGTCATGAATTGCATCCATAGCTAGTGGTGGAGGGGACCACTCGATGCAAATAATTGAAATTTGCCTTTCGATTGGATATACCTTAATGACTGATGATGCTATCTTACCACAGTTAGTAAAAATAATTAATTAAATTTAGGAAAATTTATATATGTTTGACTATAACGTAAAATTTATAGACAACTTATTCATAAAAACATAAACAATCTCACACACCTCAAAAACGTTAATGCTATGTTTGGATAAATATAGATTTAGATTTGAACCAAATTCATTATTTGAATAATTAAAGATGTATGAATTTTGATTTGACCTAAATCTAAATTCAAGTTCTTTCTTAATTTCTTTATAATTTAAAATCCTTTTTGAACTCCTATTATTTTAAATCCTAACTTAAGTTCTTTTGTACTTTGACCTAAACACATGAAAGTTTGATCAACTTACTAATGGTAATTGGATTGAACGACCAAAGTTCACAGAAACAAGCTGCCACTATTGATCAAGACAAGAAGGCCGACTTCCATAGGGATTGGAAGGCTGATTTCCACCGAGACTGGATTGACAGTGAAGAAGGGGACCGGAAGGCCGACTTCCACCAGGATTGGATTAACGGTGAAGAGGAGACTGAAAGGCTGACTTCCACCGAGACCAAAATGACAGCGAAGATAGGGACAAAAAGGCTGACTTCCATCGAGATAAAATCGACGGCAACGATGGGGACTAGATAACTGACATCTACTGGCACCGAATCGACAGTGATGATGGGGACCGGACGGCCGGCTTCACTAGCACCACCGACAATGATGACAGGGACCAAATGGCTGACTTCCACCAGCACTGGACCAACGACGATAACAGGGACTGGACGGCCGGCTTCCACTAGCATCGAATCAACGACAATGACTAGGACCGAATGGCCGTCATCCACTGGCACTGAACTGACGGGGATTGGACAGTCGGCTTCCACCAACACCAGACCCATGACGAAAATGGGGACTAGAAGGTCGGCTTCTATTGGGATCGTACCAATGGCGATAATGAGGATCGAAAGTCCAACTTCCACCGGGTAAGCATCAGATGGCCTACATCTTTTGCCATCACCTTTCGTCTAGTCGCCGTCGCCATCATTGTCGATCAAATATGGTGCCGATGGAAGTCAACCGTCGGGTCCCCATCGTAGCCATTGGTCCAGTCTCAGTGAAAGTTAACCGTCTGGTCCCCATTATCCCTCTCAATCCAATCACAATGGAAGTTGGCCATCTGGTCCCCATCATCCCTACAGGTCTAATCCTAGTGGATGTTGATCGTCTAGTCCCGTTAGTTGTGATTGGTTTGGTCCTAGTGAAAGTTGGCCATCCCGTCCCTGTATTCGCGAAGGTTCGGTCCGGTGGTTCCCGCCTCGTTCATCACCGATGCCTCAATGCCAGTTAGCTTTGTTTGTTTAATCCCATTAAAAGTTAGCCATTCGAATCGTTGAATTTGATCAATCTTCCAAGTTTCTTTTAAATTTAAATATAGAATTTAAAATTTAAAATTTTATTTTAGATCCAAACAAAAAGATTTTAATATTATAATTTGAAATTTTTTATATCATCCAAACAAATAAAATCTATGAATTTCAAAGGTGAGATTTTAAATATGAAATTTTAAATCTAAATTCTCAACTTAAGTTCACCTATCCAAATATAACCTCATATGAATTTGTAATTAACTAATTGTCAATGCTCGTTTTTATGTCCTGATGATATCAAGGAAGGAATCAACAGCGTGTGACTGAACTAATGGACTTGAACGATCACCGTCTTCTCAAACGTTGAGATAATACACATCTTCTGATAACACAACTTTACCTAATCACACATGTATGCACGCACGCGCCACGCGCACACACATAGAGCATATTTAAATATAAATATATAGTTACATTATTTTATGGTTATCTCAAGAATATATATATATATATATATATATATTTTATTTGTGTGCAAGTGTCTTCTAATTGACTTGAAGGGATCACCATCTTCTCATCAGCATTGAAATGATACACATATTCCGATAATACAGGGTTACTTAATCATACGTACGTACGTACGTATACATATGTATAGCATATTTAAATAGCAATATGCAGTCACATTATTTTATGGTTCTCTCAAGATTTTTTTTTTTTTTAACCATGTATGTGTGTTTTTTCTTTGGAGACAATCTTGTACATTGTCAAGCACTAAACACCCGTTTGATTGTTAAAAAGAATAAGAGTGAAATAGAATAAAGAAATAAAGACAAAAATAAAATGATTAACATATGAAGAGAAAATAGGTTAATCATGTTAATGAGGAGATAAAGTAATTTAATTTATGAGATTGTGAGTCATGATTCATAAAGTTTGTGAAAGGTGTAGTGATTCTTATATTTGTGGGATAGGTTTTATCATGCTTATTATAAGAGGAAGGATAATTTAGTAATTTTTATCTTTATTTCTTTATTTCATTCTATTTTCATCCTTTCCAATAACCAAATAGGCTCCAAATATGAGCATTTTTCTTATTGCGTATTTGAATCTCACAAGAATATTATTTAACTAAAAAGCCAAACTATATTGAGACTTCTGGCTACTGAAAAAGTGAAACTGTTACAAAAATGAACAAATGTCGTTCCACAGAATACAAACCACTAACTAAATCTTGAATTTCTTCCAAGCAAACACAATGAAAAAGTGCAAATGTTGTTACAAAAATGTACAGAATGATGTACTGCAGAATATAAACCGTTAACTAAATCTTGAATTTCTTGTAAGCAAACACAATGAAAGTGCAAATGTTGTTACAAAAATGTACAAAATGATGTACTGCAGAATATAAATCATTAACTAAATCTTGAATTTCTTCCAAGCAAACACAATGAAAAAGTGCAACTGTTGTTCCAATAATGTACAAATGATGTACAACAGAATATAAACCGGTAACTAAATCTTGAATTTCTTCCAAGGAAACGCAGAATTTCTAACACTTCCCTAGATGTATCTCTCTTTACGTGCAATGTAACAACTATCATATGCATGGAAGATTGATTTGAACTAACGATGGGGTTCACCCCCTTCCTTTTCTAACCACCACGATTCATCCATTTTTATGTCTGATGCGGTATCAAAGAATGATACGAGTATGACACTTTACATTTCCACTTATCCTTATTTTAATCCATCTACTTTTCTTTTGGCTTGAATGAAGGGACCTGTCTTTAATGTCTTGGATTTTCAACCCTGTCAAAAAGATACATATTTGCTGTAAGCAGCTTAAAAAATTACAGGGTTTTACCATAAACCCTTTACGAGGCAAATAAAAGCTTACCATCACTGATCGAGAATCTGAAGCAGAACCAGCGAAATGCAATACAAAGAAAGGGAAATCACAATTCCACTGAGAAAATTTTGCAGCAGCCGTCTATCGTCTTTTGTTGGTATGAACACTGACTTGAGCATGTTTGTTAAGTCAAAAAGTCGATAGGACATCTGCCAAGCATTTCAAGATAGCAGCGTACTGCAACTTATTATGATTTTTCCGAAGATTATAAGTCAAACAACAGAACAAAAATTGACAAAAATGAAGAAGTCGAGAGAAAATATCATTACCAAGGTGTATATAGCAGTTGTAAGCATAAAGTTTAGCAGAGGATAGCCCGGTATGATAGAAAGAAGCCACTTGGGTTGTCCATTGGGCATGTTTGATCTGTGCGCAGAAGGGAATGATCAGCCAAATAAATTTTTTTCATTGTTATTTTTGCCAATCTGATCTATCTAGTGAAACAACAAAGACAACACACTCAGCAATAAAAAAGAAATATCCACTTCGACATATTTCTACACATGGCACCTCGAGATTTCCCTGTCTCTTGAACCATGACCAACGATGGCCACTGTTCAAACAAGTTATGACCTGCAAATCTAGTGAAATTTGACTTGAATAATTGAGCTGTAAGCACTTGAAATTGATTATGGTGCTTACGAATCGTGCATTTTAGCCATGATAATAAAGATACAAAATCAACCATTTCATCAGCAATTTGATCAGTTAAAAAACCATGATGCATACTAAGAGAAGAGTCAAGGGAAAAATAGCGCAAAGTTCAACTACGTGCTACCTCAACCTCAAACTTTGTTTCCAATCCATTACATTATTCGTATAGTTGTGAAGAACTGTTTGTTTCATCAAAAACATGGATGCCATTATAGTATAACAGAAAAAAAAAAAAAAAAGAACGCACACCCATGCATTTGCTTGATTATAACATATAAAGGAGGCTAATAGGAAGCAAATGGACAAAAAAATGTCTTTAATATGCTTACAAACCTCAACCAGATATGGAACTGTGAAATGTAAGTCTCCAAAGTTATCTTGCCCAGCCACCTAATGGCATAAACAAAATAGTGTATATTAAGAAGAAGCAAAAACATGATAAATGTACGCATCAACTCATGTAAAACCACCCTGAAGAGAATTTCAGCAACAAAGTAAAGAACACATACGCAAAGAGGGTCAAAGAGAAACTGCGAAACTGCTGAGTGAAATTCCGCAAGCAAATGTAAACACTGAAAAGCCGAAAAAAAGCAGGTTACTAACAAAAAGACTTAAAAAAAAATTACACGCCACCCATACTCTTCTTGGATGTAATTCCTGTAAAAATAAAATGAAAGAAAAACCCAAAAAACTTACAAAAGGGAAATTTAAAAAAAAAACAAAAAAAAGAAGCATGCTCACGTAATTGGAATCCATGAAGTGTAAGGGTGAAACTTGTTGTATGTTATCTTATCCAGCTTGTATATATATTCATACCATAAATATCCAACCTAAAAAGGAAACCACTAAAATGAGATCTTACTTGTCGCTCTGGTCTACATAAAAATATAACCAGATAAAAACATTGAAAGAGAACGACAATTTGAGGCTGTGGAAATCACCAATGAAGAAACTGAAACAATGCCTGTTTGATTGTGATTTTCCTCTTGGTTTCACACTCTTCCAACTTTTCCATCCATTTCTCAACCTAATATCGAAGAAATTATTTGTAAGTTACAAGACCTAATTTTTATCATAAAACAAGATCCAATACTCAAACCAGCGCAAGAGATTACGGTTGGATGGAAATAGGCATAAATCATTCCAATTATCCAGATGTAGCGATCAAGCCCAGATCTGAAATGCCATTCGTGCATTCGAGGGAGATCTGGTTTTGCAGGATCAGTATACCCTGCCACATAAAGACGCAATTTGTAACAAGCACCCAAACCTCCATCATACATATCACGTCAACTTGAAAGTTGACAACACACTACGTTATATTGAGAAGTATACACAAACACTGGGAGGATCTATGGTACAAAAATATATGGCATAACTTTTTCATCTTTTTGGCAAGCATTACATTCAACAAGAGGCAGCCTGCAATTTTTGAGGCAAAGTAAATGCTGAGTCTAAACCCGCCAAAAATGTAGTTGAGTATTGCAACTTAGTGGAGTACTCATGCGACAGAGATTACCAAATGCAACCAACTGACAAACTCCTCTATTATAACTTGCTAACAAAGGTGGAAAAAGGCATGACCAAAGTCATACCAAAAATAAATAACTCCAACTATGGCAGATTTACTGACCTAAAAAGAAAGCAAATGGACTCCATAAAATGTCAAAGACTCCAGGGATTTCCCAAATCAAGATCACCACAAGAAAGCATGCGAGAATCTTTGCATTCATAACCGAGCTTTTCTCATTATATTTGTTAAAAACGCCAAGTGCTCCATACACCATCAGAGTGAAAAGGGTGTGCATTGGACATATATAATAAAGCATATAGTCATTGTTAAGCACAACAGAACAGAAGGCAACCAAAAAATTAAGCCGCCATATCATCTGCACGGAAGACTACTAAATCAGAATCATGTTTCAACAAAAAAACAAGGGGTCAGGAGAAGTAGAAAGCAGACAAAGAAAAAATGCAACAAAAAAAATGCAGAATTTTATGTGACCTGAGCAAAGCGTGCAAGGCTAAAATCTTTTCGGACATAATAATAGGAGAAGTTGCCAAATCCAGTCGTCCAGACATATGCGGCTATGAAAACACGTATTGCATTGTATATCTCCATTGCAGCAAAATAATGGTACATAAGAAAGAGGACCTGAATAAACAGAACCGAAATATAAATGCTCTCATGAACAAAAAATGAGGAATGCACGTTAAAGACATTAAAACATTATAAAGAAGAAATTTTGGAAGCAATATACATCAAGCTGGCAAAGGTTGAGTATATACAAATTTTGATGAGCATAATTTTTATTTCAGTCACTGAAAACCACTATTTTTAAAGCAATCATCCAATAGGTACACAGCTTTTTCCAAGCATCAGCTACCATCTATGCCATAAAGGTACCCAACAAACATGAGAAAAATCCTATTCAAAAATAGAAAACATCCCCTATAAAAATTATATAAATACCAAAACAAAAATTAAGAACAAAAATCAAGTAATGGTTACTAAAATTATAAAATTTATACAAAGTTAGTATCTGTTGATAACAAGCTACAAGTTCAAACATAAGCCCGAAGAAAGCACCAACCTGCATCCATCCTTTCCACTCCTCTGTTTGATGCCTATTAAGGTAAAGTATGCTTCTGCCAGAAAATGCTGATTTGTCACTGTGCTTCTTCAAAGAGGTCATGGCTGAAGCTATAATGAGGAGGAGGTAGAGGAAAAGGAAAAGATCCCGACTGTAACTCTATAAAAAGGGAAGAAAAAGAAGTAAAAAGACACAAAATGAAAATTATTTATTCATGCTTGCCAATAAGTAAATCATAAATATAGCAAGTAACTGGTCATTTAGGAAAATATTCATATATCCAGTGCAAGTTTCTGTTCCCAAGTCAAGCCTGTTTGTCCCTATGTCTCACATGTTTAATGAGAAAACACCGTTCTAACAACCAACGGTTATGTGAAAAAGAGTATCAGACCATGAATTCATGAATAGTGCACAAACCTAAATGCTAAAGATTATGCTAGTAAAAAATAACAATCAAGGTGTTGAAGTTCAAATTGGAGTAGTCTTTGCATAAAACTTCCAGTTGAGTATATGACAATAGCAATAAAAAGAAAGGTATCACTTCCAGGACACAAATCTGGAAAGGACAACAACTACAGATGAATACTTCATAAAAAACATCATAGCAAAAAAAAAAAAAAATGCCAATAAAAGTGAAAACTGTGAGATAAACTATTACTATGAAGAAGCCAATAAAAACCAAGTAGCTAATAGATTATGACATTCCAAAAATGGGGATCTCTTCACGTAATAACAATATTTCAATTGTAGGTCAATGCCAAAATCTTGGAAACTGAAAGTAGAATAAGGATACCTTAGTAGAATCTCCCAGTAAGTTTGTGCGGTCACATAAGTAGAAATAAAGCAGAATTAAACCAAATTCAGACCTATATGGAATGGAATTGTAAGTATCAAATACATCCAACAAACAGTATTTGAATGATCTACCTCAAAAAACATACATTGCCCTCAAAGTTGCTCGATTCTCCAGCAAGAAAGAGCCATCCATAATAAAAAATCTAGACAAGTCAAGTACATAAGGAACTACTTTGTAGGAAAAATGAATAAAACACAAAGGGTATAACAACCATGACATTGCATTTAGTAGAATACAACCTATTGACGTTCAATTTGTTGGATGAAGCTTTGAATTTTGCAGATGCTGATCTCACACGCTCTGCTTCCAGCAAAGCAGCCTGATCATCTTCCTTCGTACCTTTGCCCAATTCATCAACATCACTGGTATCTGAATGACTGTAGAATGACCACAGTTATCAATTGTAGAATAACCATCCTCAACTGACTCTCAAATTTATACTCCCTCTGTCCCTATATATAATGTATTTTTAACTGAATCTCGCGTATCAATAAAAGTTTATTTAGTTAAAATCACAATAATTTTTCAATTTTGCCCCTAATAATGTCAATTAATGTCACAATAGTGGTGAGTAAAGTACACAATGAATACATCTTCCCTTTTTTCAAGACAAAGGCAAAATTGTCTAATTATTCAAAAATATTATGACACCCTTATATTTGGGGATAAAATAAATTTCTAAAAAACACCTTATATATAGAGTTTGTAGACACACTTAATTTTCAAGATACAATAAAGAATCAAGATCCTTTCACGTTTTTAAACAGTTTGTGAGCAACATAAAGTAACCCGTCCATAAACTTCCAAAAAAGATACCAGTCCAGACTGAAATTATATTTCTATAGAGAAAATTTTAAAAGGAAGGGATATAACAACAAAATCATAACAACATCTGGAAACAAAATTGAGAAAAGAAACATCATTATGGAAAAATCGTTAAGGGTTATTTTATTCAAATTTATCAGCCAAATGGCCTAATTGTACTATTTGCCATAAGATTGATAAGGATTGCTTTTCACACTGACGTTTTTCCACATTTTCAAGTGTATTTTTCTAGTGTTAACCTCAGATGCATTCAAGAGTTCATGGACTTAGATCAACTTAGACTAGCAAATGTAAGAAGATCATCGTCTTCGAGACGTATTTCCAATCATAGATATCATCAAGATGCATACAGCCATATAGATAAAATGTAGCATATTACTAATATAAGAAACTTACGTCTTAGGAGGAGACAATGTTCTCTTATACTCCAAGTACTCTGAATATATCCATGCAACAAAAACCGGAATAAAACCCAGCACGAAAGACACCTGGGGCACAGTTAGTAAAGCTTTATCAGTGAATATAAAAATTTTATTCGTACAGGCAAAACTAAAGTCAGGAAAAGAAGAATTTTGCACTGAAACGAGTGGCATAAAAATAAAATAATAGTAAAATGCAAAGGCGATGAAGCCCATTCTTATCTACTCAGACAAAACCATTTGAAATTTGAAATTGAAATTTTAATCAATGTCAATATTTAAGAGGAGAAACGGCGAAGAGTAGGACACTAAATCCTGACCTTAAGACTTATATCATTCTACTTTATTAAATCCAACTTTATCTGACATGTGACTCCTCACGTGGGCTCAGATCAACTCATACTGAACAACATAACTATAACTAACCTACATAAAAGTTTGTTTACTTAAACCTTACATAAATTTCAGTCATTCGATTCAATTCAGTCTGGTAATCCCAGACATGCAAGGGGTTTATCTTATTGCTCAAGGTTATGATTCATGAAGATTGAAGAGACCTTCAAATGCCACATTGGAACATTCGTATGGCCCAAGGCAGAGTCAGTTGCTCGACTTGTATAATATTGTTTCTGCCACCTTAATAACGAGTTTTAGTCACTTTTCATGCGTATCGTTGCAGTATCATTTCTATGCCCACTGCCCAGCATCTAATAGCTCCGCTTTGATAAGCCCACTGTTTTATTGGCCAACTATAAGCCCACTAGTAGTTAACTATTAGATGCAGTAAAACAGACGCCAGCAGATCACAAAATCACCAGCATTGCATGGCAAGAACTATTATACATCCACTACAAATAATCCATGCTTCAACTACAAATTTGGATTCATCATCCATCTAATAAAATATCACACACCTGCCCAGGAGTAATTGGCCCCGGAACCACCATTCTCGATGCGAAGTAACTGGCTTAAAACTGAAAAAAACCGATTGATATGATTGAGAAACAAGGCGCATTGGATTCTGAAGTTCAGAAGCAGATGAAGTGGCAGTAACCCGAAGATTTAGAAAGGAAAAAAAAAAAAAATCAATCACCCGCGGATTTGAAGCGTCCGATTTGACAGGATGTGTCAGAGAACGATCAAAAACACGAACAACAGGAACCTAGAGAGAGGGGGTGAGGGAAGGATCTGAATGCGAAGAAGAGTTTTCTTCAAGAAGAGAGAAAATGTCGGAAGGAACGTCTCTCTCCCCTCCTCTCTCCCGCCCTCTTTTGCACAGTAGTTGAAGGAGTTCGCGGTTCAAGTCTGAGTTTGATTAGTTTAGACGGTTAATGCTGCGTGTGGTGGTCCTGGAATTTGAAACTTAATCATCATTATAGTTATTGTTGCGGGACAATGACAATTATGAACCCATAAAAATATTAATAACAATTAATGACCCTAAATTATTTAAATTCTACCTTATTTATAATAAATTATCTTTTTTATTTACTTGAAATTCATAATAAATTTTGGCAAATTTTTAATTAATATTACAAAATTTTTTAACTATCTTTTATTAATATTTCAAGTAATAGCAAAAAATTATATCCAATTGATTTTTGATTCACAATTAAATTTCATAAATTTTTAGCTAACATTATAAATAATCTCAAATATATTTAGTAAATTTTTTAAGTGATTTATTTATATATTGATAGTAAAAAAATTATAATTAATTGGCTTATAATTCAGAATTGATTTTTGCAAATTCTTAATTAACATTACAAATAATTTAAAATGTATTTACTTGATTTTCTAAATAGTTTATTTGTATATTGATAGCAAAAAAAAATTAAAATTCACAATTGATTCTCATCAATTCCCAAATAATATTATAAATAATTTCAAGTAGAGCTATACAAATGAATTGCGGGCCAATTCACACATGTTAGAGTTTTAGAAAGTTAGGGTGGGCTAGCCCTCTAAAATAAATGGGTTAAGAAAATTTAACCCAACCCACACACTAGAGGGCTAGCTAGCAAACCAATAACCCATAAAATACAACTTTATTTTTTTAAAATAATTTAAAATTTATAGTCAACATATTATATATATAAATTAAATCACCTATCTAAATTCTATAAGACAAATCCTACACAATAAGCTTTATTTTTTATTGCTCTTAAGTAAACTCATGTTATTTACTTAGTTTAGCCAAATGGACAATTTTTTATTTATGGGTTCATTACATCAAATTTAATTTTTTCAACACCTATCTAAATTTAAAATAGTCTATTGTGTATTCTTGTAAAGCCATAGTACTTCAAAAAAATTTAGAATCCAAACCTTTTTCTTTTTTTTACTTGGATGCCCACTAAAATTAATTTTGAATAATAGAAATGGATATGAAATAGATAAAAGAAAAAGAATTAAAATTAAAAATATTTTTAGTATCATAAAAAATTTAAATGTAATTTTGATATTATTTATATTTGCTTTTTATGGATTACGAATTAAATAGTAAAATGAAGCCAAAATATTTAAAAAAAAACTTGCTAGATTTTTACTATTAATTTTTTCTCACCTAAGTGTGTTATCTTTCTCATTAAGAAAAAAATTTGAATATAAACCTATATTATTTTTCTCAATGAATTTATATTTGTAATTTTAATCAATAGATTGTATGAGATTAACAAATAATATATTTAAAATATTTCTATAAAAACTAATAAAGCATTAATTTTCAAACTATAACAAAAATTTTATTTTCAAATTGTAAGAAATATTTACATTATCTTTTAAATGTAAAGAATATATTTAGTAGTCATAAATTATAGGTTTGATCAATATTGTTATAATTGTAAATTTATAAAAAGATATATTATAATTAAAAATAAATTATTATTTTTTAAAAAATAGGCTCACCAACGGACTAGTCTACTATAACCTGTTAATCTTGTAGGTTGGGCTAACCAGTCAATTTTAAAAAACAGGTTAGTTCCTTCAACCTAACCTATTAAAATTAATAGGTTAACAGGCTAGCCCGCAAATTTAACTCTTTTTTTTAACTCTATCTCAAATGTCATTTTCCTTATTGCTTTCTTCTCCCGTTCAGGATACAACTTTATTTAACTGGATGATTAGGCATAATCAACCTTAATTTTATCTTAATTTATACTAATATAATATAAAAAGTTTTAATCCATGAACCGACGCCCCATTTCCCATATTACTTTTTATTAAAAATAAAATAGATAATTTATTTGATGATGCAAGTTCAAAACTATTTTATTTTTTATTAAAATAAAAATATGAAATTATAAAGTTTTCAGATCAATCAATAGGTAATTGGGGATGGGACTGAAAGGAAATTATTAATGACACCATATGCTTTCAAAATCAGAATAACACCATATGCTTTTACGAAATTGTTGGGCTGAAGTTTCATGCCGTACAAATATACACCCATCCATTGCTATCATCGTTTATGAATGATTTAAATGCGTGAAATTTTATCCAAAAAAAAGTAAATGCATAAAATTTATATAGACATTATTAATATAAAATATTGATATCAGTTGATATATTCTCCCTGTTAAAAAATATAAAATATTTTTTAAAAAATTAAATATTAAAAAATTTAAGTTATTTTTAATCTTTCGAGATATAATTATTGTCTTTTTTTTAAAAAAGTGTCCCTATTGATAATGACTTTATATTTATTATAGGATATTTAATAGAAATAAATATAAAAATATAGGGTCAATTTAAAAGTAGGTAACTATTTTATTGGAAGATAAAATTCGATAAAAAATATTTTACATTTTTAAACGAATGGAATCTATAGAAAAACACAAAATCATAATCATATTCTTTCTGGCTCGAATTACAGGGTACTTTTAAAAAAGTTTTTTCATCTCAAAATGTACAACATGTTGAGTAGATTAAAGTTTCATTAAATACACAAATTTTAATATTATCTTTTTTTCTTTATAATTAATTTTTATTATTTTTTTAATATATTAAATTATAAGTATTTTGAAAATTTTATATTTTTATTTGAAAAAATTAAATTATTAAGTTTATTTAATTAGATTTATAGATATATAAAATTTTATTTAAAATATTTTATAATTTAAAATAAAGAAAGTATTAAATAAAAAGTGAAGTTTTTGAGCCAATGAATTTCTCACCATTGTCACAATTCACAATCACTACCAGTCCTTGTCGCTATCATGAATGCCACCATTTTGGTTTCATCAAGCTATTATATTACATCTCGTTCATGGTAGCTGGCTACCATTGTCAGCACATAAATGCTTTATTATTTTTGTTAAAAAAAGAATGACACGACAAATAAAATTAAGCATAGCATTTCCTTATTTTCTTAATTTTTTTTTCATATTTTATTTTTATTTTAATCACGTACCATTCTCACGCGCACACATTTCGGTTATTTCTGGATACCTTCTAAACTTAATTATTTATACAAATGAACCTTGGACTCCTCCGATCCCTCGGATGAAAGTAAAGAATAATTGATTAATGACGAAGTCAATTAAATCCATACCTAGAAAAAAAAAAAGAAAAAGAATTACGTATAGGTCATATTAAAAGGATTTATTTATAAATAAGTATCATAAATTTAAAAAATATAGCCTAGGTCTATAGACCTAGTTGTAATTTGCCTTGAGTGGGAAAGTATAAGATTGCCTCTCTGCAGGAAAGATTGAATTTAGCGACAAAATTTGAAACTTCTCTCTCTCTCAAGCCCATTCAACCATCAAGGCCTAAACTCTCTCTTGCATATTTAAAGTTTCAAATTTTATCATTAAATTCATTATTTTTTTAAAGGGTAGTCTTATCTTTTTGAAAAAAATATTAATTAAGAGTTGTTGAAGGAAATTTATATTAGTTAAGAATTACTTATTGTTAAAATTTAAATAGATATTTATTAATTAATATTAATCTTTTATCAATAAATATTCATTTAAATTTTAACAATAATTCATTTTAAATTAATAATAATCTATTTAGACTTTTTTCATTTAAATTTTAATAATAATTAATTCTTAATTGATATAAATTTTTTTCAACAGTCCTTCATTGCTATTTTTTTCATCTTTTTCCACCCAAGATAAATTATAACTCAGTCTCAAAAAACTTGATCGTATTTTTTAAAATTATCACGAAATTTACAAGGAACAACCTGTGCAAGAGATGGAAATGGAAGAATCATCCCATGAGAGATTTTGATTGGAGTCAGTCGGCTCTCTCTCACGCAAACACATACCTATGTATATTGTTTACGGGATAGCCCGTGTCTGAACACAAACCAACTACACAGCTTTTGAGTATTATGTTCCAGGTTACGTGTCCCAACAAAATTGTCAAAACGCGTTGATTTTTATTTATAATCCACTTCTAAATATCTCATCAAAAAAAAATATTCAATTATTGATATAATTAAAAAAATCAATTTATACTTATTAATTAAATGTGTCATTTTTTACAATATTTTCTCCCTGCTGTAATTTTTTCTCTCTTATTCATTGAAAATTATTGAGAAGTAAAATTAAAATAAAAATATGCTTTTTTACATAAAGAGGATCAAGAATTTTTTCTAGATATATACAAGACCAAAATGAGCATATATTAGTAATTGTAAGACCGCCATTTGATCTTGGGACTTGGTTTCAAAGCCCAATTATATTCTTACTGGAGATTACCAATTGGTCTCTCACATGCAGGGATCATTGGATTATCAATGATTTGATAATATACTATGGTATTTTTATATTATAACTGCTACTTAATTATTTTGTATTCATTCCTGTTAAAATTAATTTATTGATGTAGATCTCGGCACATCAGAATCTAGTAGCTATTGCTAGAATGGCAATAGGATAGATGAGAGGCCTTTAAAAAGGGGAAAAAAAAAACTTGATGTACGGTCCAATGAATTGATTTTGCTGGTGGTGAATTGACTCACAAGTTAAATGGACTGTAATTTTGAACTTAAATGTTGACTACGTGCAAGTTGAAAGAGTCAACGCCCTTAATACATCTGATCTCCCAGAAATTAAATATGTATCACAAAAAAAAAAGGTCATGTTGACGTTACTAGCATATTATTTCTTAAACAAAATGACAATAAAATTCTTTTAAAATATATAAATAATAATTCAATTCCTTAAAGTTTTAAGAACTTTTCTGTCATTAATAAATTTATATAAATTATTAAATTATCCTTGTTGGAAATAAATGATTCATAAGCTTTGTTTAAATATTCACAACTT